GGGGAAAAAAACACAATTAGTCATTAACATTAACAAGTGTCAGGTGCCAACCTTTATGCATCGCTATGCAAATAACGTTAAATACAAAATAAAATCCACCAGGATTCAGTTAGGATACCTGGCGAGAAAGGAAAATCACGTTTTTGTAATAATGACATAATAATAATGACATATTTAGTATTGGGGTACCGGACGTGCAATTATATGCTTAAGCCTATAATATCATAAATGATGACGATAATGTTGGCCTTGAACTTAAATTACCTAGATACCAACCTAGATAGCTAGCTTGCTAACAAATTGTCAACGGCTGCTTATAACCAAAAATATTATTCAACTCAATCTCAACTCTGGCCCTTGAAATCCACTTTCAGCCTTAATCAAACACACCTGAACAAGCTAATCAAGGTCCCCAGGATTACTGGATCTCGAGGGCCACAAGTCGTGAACACTGGACACGATACCAACACCAAAGAAACATAAATGACACAATACATTACCGGCTTCTTCCTTGTCTTCCTCAATAAGTCGATATGGGGCTTTTCTCTTGCGAACAGTTTTACGCTCTTCCTCCGTCGCCATGCTGTCTTCTGATTGTGAACTATCGCATTCGCTAACTCCAATATGGCGACGCGTCAACGCAATGTTGCAGAAACTTCCATCTCTGCACGTGAATTCTACTGTTGGAAACGATTCTTTGAGTGTATTGTCCCAATACGATATGTGGTTGACGGTCGGCATTATTCCACTCCGTTTTAAGTCTTCCAAAACTTTAATTATGTTCTTTATTTTAATATTTTCTCCTTTAAATGGAATCAGTGTCATCTTGTAACATTTATATTTCATTTGATAATTTGAGTCGGATGATCCAACTCTGAACCAGGATAATAGTAAAACAACTTGATTAAAATAATTATGAGGATGTAAACGTTTAACTTAGATACAAAATACAAATTATTATTTTTAAGTGTTTTAGTGCAGTTTAATAAATCAGTAAGTGTTTAGAAAGATAAGGACATAAACATGAACTTAGAATCTGCGTTTATTTTATTTTTAATTTATTTATTTTCTGAAAACTAAAAAGAAAATAAAGGAAAGAAAAGGGAAAGAAAGAAGAAAAGGAAAAACTTCCGGAGTGAAAAACGTGCAATTTCAACGTCTGTGAAATCCGCGCATTTTAGAGTTGGTAGTAGATGGTAACAATTACCTGCAGTTATGGGACTTGCGAAGAAAATCCTCTCCCTCTGTAATCGCAGGGATAGAAAAGGGACGAAAAAAATGATCGATTTTTTTACAAAAACATAATCTTATGAAGTCAACAATGACTTGTAACGTCTGTAAGAAATCGATGAATCTACAAAAGACACATACACGGGATGGATATCAGTGGTAAGAAAATTAACATAATTCATTAAAATATGTTTATAAACTCCTATACAAATGCTGAATGTGGTGATTTTAGGGTATGCCGCAGAAGGTCACATAGGAAATTTACAAAGAGCTGCAAAGCTGGATCGATATTCGAAAACAGCAGGACCACCTTACAAAGCTGGATGACTTTTATTTACCGGTATGAATTACAGAAATGCACCTCACTGATTTTATAGAGAGCAGGTAATAATATATTTAAACAGTAACTACAGGAAATGTAAACGGACATTAATTTATGCATTGTAAATCAGTCAGGTAAGTTAACCGAGTGAGTTCAGTTCTTTGTGATAATGCTGATTTTTTATCAAAACAATTATTTATGAAATATGCACGCAATATAATACTTCATTCTCAATATATTGACTTAATTCTTATATTGCTACACCTTAATTGTTGTAACATGACCTTTTTCACACAAATTTGACTTTATCCGCAAAATAGTAGATTTTATTCATCATATAGCTTCAACTTCATTCTCATAATCATAGACTTGTTTAATTTAAATGATTAAAAACCCTGTCATATTGGCAGCTTGAATAATTTACCTTAGAGCAAATATGTTTCTGCAAAGTTAAAACAAACATCATTGTGATAATGCAAAGACCAATGTGAATCTTTTTACATGCAATCTATTTTCACTCTTGTTAACAGATATTGTCAAGGACTGAGATTACGACAGGTGGATATGATCCAGGATGGCATAGCCGGAAGCTCAGCAACACTGAGCAAAATGACAAAGAAGCTAAGAATGGTCTGTAAAAAAGCTTTGAGAAAGTACAAGAGAAAGACAGGACAGTTTGTGGGGGGCAGGACAGAGTTTGTCATTATAGATGAAAGCAACTTCCGTCACAAAAGAAAGGTATTTATTTTTAAGGCTATAATATCATGGCTGTAGTGCAACTTTACTTTCAAATCAAATGTACAAAAATAAACTGTCTGTTGAAAGGGTAAAACAAAGCAAGGAGCAGCATGACTGGAGCAACATGTTTTAGCTCAAACATTTGGCCCAAAAAATACAGGAACTCTTAAAGAGGACATCAGATGAAATTTTCACTTTTATAGATTTTTTTTTTTTTTTTTTTGCACCTAGTTAGGTTTCTGACGTATCTGCCAGCTCAGAAAAGCTGAAAATAAAACATGCAGCCAGTGGGCTTTCTGAGTATGAAACTGTGTCATCCAGTGAGCGGTTTCAATCTGCAGCCAGTTTCTACATAGATAGCTAGCTATTTGGAGCCATATACAGAGTCCAAGGCAGCAATTCACATGCCTTGTGTCGGCATGCCCCACGGAAGAGAGGGGTGGGGGTGAGCAGTACCTCATTATCATTTAAAGAGAAATGCACCGAAACAGGTCACTGTGAACAGAGCTGTTTTTGACAAGGTAAAAAGGGAGCTGTTTTACGCGATCATTGAGGAAGTTTAACTAAAGTATGTTACAGACATTTAATGAAGACCCTAAAGAATAGGCCTGTCATGATAACAACTTTTTGTTGTGATATATTGACCCAGAAATAATTGCGATTAAAATGACAATAATATCGCTAAAGACCATTTTATGCCACGCAATATGTAATCATAATGTAACAGCACAATAATGCAAGAAGGCCTACACACTTCCAAATGACAACAAACGTTTCATTTTTAAGAATATTTAGATCATGGAAATTAAGTATCAAAATATTAGATACCTTAAAAAATAGTAAATAAACATTTTCTAACAAAAAGTGCAAAGTAACAAGTAGAAAAAAAGAAAAATGCACAAAGAACTTGTATGGAGATTTTTCCATCTACAGATTTTTCCCTGACCTTCTTTTCTCTGTTTCTTTTCTTTTGTACGTAAATATAATGGGCGATATATTGCGTCACCAAAAATTGAGGTCATGTACATATATTGCGCGATAAGTCGATATATTGATTATTGCGACAGGCCTACTAAAGAATCATTGAAACTTGTGGAAAATGTGTATACGATGTCCCCTTTAAGTCCTTCATCAGAAAGTTTTGCTTGAGTAAAAGTTATACTAGCTATTCTAGACAGTTATTTAATTGAATGATTAAAAGATATAAAAAGTATGGACACTATAATGTTATATTGAATATTTAGTTTGTCATCAGAGACAGAAGTGTAATAGTGTTAATACTTCTCACAGGGAAAGAAAAAGCAAGACACTTAATGAATGTTATTTTTTATTTTTTTTTTAGTATGGACGAGGAAGAGCTGGCGAAACATGGAGAAGAAAAAAGTGGGTCTTTGGTATCTTGGCCATTAAGGGTGATAGAAGACGACCAATTTTGCGGCTTGTTGAAAAGTGCTCAAGAAATCATCTGATTCCAGTGATAAGACATGTTCGCCAGGGATCAAACATTTTGAGTGACTAAAGGAGACTCTACAAGAGAGCTCTGACCACACTTGGATACACTCACTACACTGTGAATCATAGCAGGTGGTTTGTTGACCCAGTTCATGGAGGCCACACCCAGAATATAGAACGAGCATGGTCAACATATAAAAACCAGGTCTGGAGGTTGAGAGGCAATAGGACAGAAAAGCTGTTGAAGGAACACTTGACATGCATTGAGTGGACATACTGGCTTGGACACAACCACCGTGATGGTCCTCTAGGATGTTTGTTAAAAGATATTAGAAGACAATACAGAGTTTAATATTTTGGAGTATGCTCAAAAATAAATTGCTAATACCTGTGTGAGTGAGCATTTGTTTGCTTGTGCATGTGCTTGTCTTTGTAGGAGATATTACTGTGGCTCAGTTTCTTATCTGTGTCATCACTGTGCCAAATTTAATTTTAGAATGTTAATTCGGACATATTTTGCACTGTGCTTTATTGCACACCCAGTTGTTCATTTTTTCCATTATGCAGTGTTTTCGTTTATGATTTTATGTAAAAGTTTCAGTGCTTATAATTAAAGAAAATGTTAGACCCAATCACTGCAGTTCTTTTATGTTGTATATAGTTCTCACAGGGTGACATGTTGGTGAAGGGTTAACATGTTTTTCACTTAACATGTTTTTCACTTTAAAATAATGGTCCAGATCACTAGTAGTTCCTGCGGGCTGACAAGGTAACGCTTGAGTAATTAGTGAGGGGTTAACATGTTTTTCACTTTAAAATAATGGTCCAGATCACTAGTAGTTCCTGCGGGCTGACAAGGTAACGCTTGAGTAATTAGTGAGGGGTTAACATGTTTTTCACTTTAAAATAATGGTCCAGATCACTAGTAGTTCCTGCAGACGGACAAGGTAACGCTTGAGAAATTAGTCTGGGGTTAACATGTTTTTCACTTTAAAATAATGGTCCACATCACTAGTAGTTCCTGCGGGCTGACAAGGTAACGCTTGAGTAATTAGTCAGGGGTTAACATGTTTTTCACTTTAAAATAATGATAGGGCAGCGAGGCAACAAGTCAGCTGCCTAAGTATTCGGATGCAGCCTTGGAAGCGGATGGCGATTTATTAACAGTAGAGAAACGAGTTATGTGATCCTATGAACTCGGGAACGCGCTGCTCACGTGGACAGCCACATGATTGTTTGCTGTAAATAAGATTAATTTTAATTACAAATTTATTCTTATTATTATGTAAAATGTATTTAAAAAAATACTTATGTAAAATGTATTCTTATTATTCCAAACATACTTTATAATATATAGTCTTATTTATTATTTGATTATTTAAATCTCCCGTTTAAAAATAAAATAGACGTGCTATAGTTATATAAAAATATACGCAACATTTAAAAATTGTACTGCATACCAGCTGCTGCCATTATAAAAACCCATTTCGAATGTTTACGTGCTTTTCTTCTCTTTCTGCTCACATTCGCTTTAAATAAAATATTGTTCTTGTAAATACTTTCCAGCATTTCATAAATAAATATGCATGCAAATTACACTGAAGTGCAACAGTTAGGCTACCTCACGGTGTTCGGGAGTGCTCAAAAAGGGTTTAAGCAATGGACGGCATTAAAATCACCAACTACCCCCTGTAAATGGTGAAAATCCCTTACGTCCCCCTCAGAAACAATTACCGTCCGAATAGGGCTTAACACTGACATAATTTACCATTTACCATCATTGTGCCAGAAACCGAACAGTATTTATATAATTTTTTACCTCTAATACAGCACTATGTCCAACTGTCTTTGGGCGCGCGCACGGCTTCCAGTGCGTGAGGTGTGTACGCGCTCTGGCGTAGTTTACGTTAATGGATATTTTTAAGAGATTTGATCGTTGCATACACTCTTGAAAATTTCCACCCATTTCAGCTTCAAATAATGAAGTTCAAATTCTGCATTAAATTTAAAGTCAAATCAAAGTGTCTACAAGTTTTCAACTCATTGTTTTAAATCTGGTCTAGTGTTGGATTGCTCTCTGTCAGTTGACATGACTGCACAGTATTAGTTGTTTTAACTTAAGCCTGGAATACACTACAGGACTTCTGCCCCGATTTACATTCTGAAGAAGTAGACACTAGTTGCCTAAAGTCAGAGCCAGTCTGCAGATTTGAGTTGACAGATTTCATAGAAAATCGTGTGGCGTATGATGGTCACAGACCCTGCATTTTTAGCTTCAGATTTTGATTGCATCCAGTCGGAGGATATAACACCCATGTTTAATGTTTTCAGCTGAAATATCGTAGTGTATGACGCGTCGCTACTGCAACTGGAAATAATACGCAGGACAGCCAAAGGAAATCACAGGTCGAGAAGAAATGGAGACGCACAAGACCACAAAGTAAAGCTCCGCCATGGAGAAAAAACATATTCAACTGTGACAGGAGCACGAGTGCCTTTATAATGTGGACGACAACTGTTGCCACAATAGAGTAGACCAAGAAAACCGCAACAGATGAACATTACAAACTCATATACACGTAACTGATCAACCAACAGACATCTTTAAACTTGTAATACAACAAAATCACATTATTAAAAAATTTAGTTTGCATTTTCTCTCACACAAATACATCAGCACACATCTAATTACATATACAACCATTTCTACACATTGCAAAATGTGGACTCACCAAAACCCAAAGAAAAATATATATACGTATATATGTATCTTATCCTTATATAAAACATGGTTACTATAGTTAAACCATGGTAACCACAAATTAACACATTAACACAAAAATTGTTAATGTGTAAATTTAACACAAATTAAAATTATAAATTTTATTTTTTTTAAGTTTTTAAAATATGCTATATAATATATAAAAACTAATATATATAAAAACTTTTTAAAATATAAAATGCATATTTGTTTTATGCTGGTGTCCATCAGCGAATCTGCTGACGGACACCATGCTGCGTTGTCACGTGAACATGCCAGCTGAAGATAATGAGGAAATTACATCGCTCCCTTTGTCAAGTGCATTCCAAACGTCTACATAATGGCACGCACGTGCCCTGCTCACTCCAAAGTCCCCACTCCAAGGGGACAGGGATGATCACTTCCATTTGGAATTTGCCCTGTGAACCGTTCCGTACCGATACTCATATCGGCACATCCCTATCACAGAGAAACTAAACTGGCTCTTCCCATTAGCAACTAATGTGGTGGGGCGGGACTTCGACTTAGACTCAACCTGATTGGTTGATCACTGCAATGTCAATCAATTTACTGACATACAATTTGTTTATATTTTATAATTTTTTCTCACATTATATAGTCAATTCTGATTTGTTCATTTCTTTAACAAACTGTTCAATCATTTCATTATTAATAATTAATTGTCTAAATTATACAGGGTTACACAAACAGACCCAGAGCCTCCCAAAGCCAACATTTGGATCTTACATGAAATTTGTTTGTTTGTTTTGCCTAAAACTGCAAATTCAGTCAAGGGATTCAAGGTTTTACATTGACAATGCAGAGAAACATTTAATATACATGGTTTCCCAGAAATACACATTTAAATTAGAAAGCATCTATATACACTTCTACATAAACTGTAAAATAAAAGAACTAATTCTCAGTGAAGCAGACAGAATCCTGTGCTCTGGATTTTGCATGATGACTCTCTGAGATTTATTATTAATTTTTTTTCAGTTGGAGTGTTTTTTTTCTTAGGCTATTCAGTTGTTATTCATTCACTTGTATCCATGTGTTCTCTAAAATATATACGCCGTTTGAATAACCGTGAAAGTGTTATAATTAGTCAAATAAAAAGTCGGGTTTATGATGTGCGTTGTTCATAGATTACACTAACATTAGGCTTCTTTTATTCTTACCCTGGAGTCGGTTCACCCTCCACCTATGCGTATTACGGTGACTTCTTCTTTGTGTTTTATGGCAATTCTCACACACACATCAAATGTTATTTAGAGGACTTTTTTCTGTTTGGAGCAGTTGAGTTTTAAATTAACTTACAATTTGTCCTGCAAATGTGGCCAAGTCTAAATTGAGCACGCATGCAAACACAGGCATGTACGCATACATTAACATACAGATGAACATACACACACTCTCGACACCTGGGGGGTATTCCAGAAAGCAGGTTAGGTGACATACCCCTGTAGAGTCAAAAATGATCAAAGACTTCTGTTTTACTGTCCCAAACCTATCCTGAGTAACAAAAGGGCCATTTGGCATTCCTGAAGACACAGAAGTGCTGATTGCGCTCAAGGCCTGTAGGCCAACATGTGTATACATCGAGGGTCTTCTAATTGTCACACCTTTTGCCCAGTGGGTGAAGATGTAATCTGCTGATTGGTCAGTTTGAATGTCTCACATTTGGTTTTTAGTCACATGGTCAGGGATAAGAAGATTGTAACTGTTGCTCTGTCTCTTTCATTTGCTACCTCTTTCTTTGCTGGGACTCTGCCCTCTCTCCCTCAGGTAACATTTTACATATGTGCTGGGTACAATTAACCATGTTTTACCATCTATTTTGTAACTTAATTCAAGTGTAACCATAACAAATTTCTGTTATTGAACCATTTCAATTATAAATTATGTGCTAACTAGTCTTGATTCCCGTTTAATCCCAAATTTTTCCCAGACATGAAAATATCCAAATGATGTGTCATTAGTAACCCTTTGAAACAATCAATAATTTTTTTTGGAATTTTTTTTTGGAAAAGTGTGTGAAAAATTGTGTTTTATGGTCGGTCACAATTGTGACCGGTGGGATAAGGTGAGTACTGAATTAACATATTTCTGCAGTTATAAAAATTGTTATATATCTTAGCCCAGCTATTTTAAACAGTTTGATCACATTCTAGGGTTACTATTATGCATAAAAAAACCTTATGCAACATTGATAGGAACACTGAGATAAGACAAAAAAAAAGAGATCCAGAGTCTCTAGCTAAGGAGAAATATCTGAGCACAGTGTGTGATGCTGTTGAGATCTCTTTTTAAAGCTTGTGAGAGTGTTGGAGTTTTTGTCTCAGGAGACAAGTTTGAGAAGCACGAGACTCAAGCAAAAATCTCCATTCGATCTTAAAGTAACCTCATTTCTGTCTAGGAGAAATATTTGAGATGTTAAAGAGATCTCACTTTTGATTTTTCTTTCCTATGGGCTAGCAACCACTCATTTAAGCTTCATTTCTGTCTAATATTTTTTTTTAAACTGTCAAACTAAAACTTGTGTTCACTGACTGAATGTGACTCTGTGTGTGTTTTCTAGTGTGGATCATGGAGGAGAATCCAGGACTACAGCAGGACTAAAGAAATGTACGTCTACACACACACACACACAGCTGTAGTGATTGTTGTGTTCTAAATGTCTCTGTTCTTGTGTTCAGAGGCCTGTTTTCTCACACTGGATCCAAACACAGCACACACTCGTCTCAGTCTGTCTGAGGAGAACAGAAAGGTGACACGTGTGGAAGAGAAACAGCCGTATCCTGATCATCCAGACAGATTTGATGAGTGTTGTCAGCTGGTGTGTAGAGAGAGTGTGTGTGGACGCTGTTACTGGGAGATTGAGAGGAGTGGAGATTATGTGTTTATATCAGTGTCATATAAGAGCACCAGCAGGAAGAGACGGCGTGATGAGTGTGTGTTTGGATGTAATGATCAGTCCTGGAGTTTGTACTGCTCTCCTGACAGTTACTCATTCACACACAATAACATAGTGACTGATCTCTCTGTAAAGTTCATCAGCAGGAGAATAGGAGTGTTTGTGGATCACAGTGCAGGAACTCTGTCCTTCTACAGCGTCTCTGACACAATGAGCCTCATCCACACAGTCCAGACCACATTCACTCAGCCGCTCTGTGCTGGGGTTTATGTTTATAAATCATCAGTGAAACTGTGTTGATGAATCAAAGACTGACGAGATATTCTACCCATAATGCTTTGAGCTGCATGATGAATCAGTGACAGTGAGATGTTATAGAGTCTCTTCATGACATTAATACTGCAGCTGAACTTCTGTCACTGAAGTCTAGTCAGAATAAATGTGTCATAAATCCTCATATAGACAGTAAGATCTGTGTGTGTCTTATTTAAATTATAATTAAATTGTATATTGAAATTATATGAATCAATAAAATTTTTTTTTACAATTGCAATAATCCTAATGCACTTTAAAATACAAAGTATTTCATAATAACAAAAATAATAATTAATATTCTTATATTGTATTAGTTATAATTTTATTATTTAGATTATACCATTTAAAAAAAAAACATCAAAACACGTACTATTTCAATAATATAGCTTTTAGAGATATTGCTATACTATTATATAGAATGTAGTATTATATATAATAATATAGTGCTGTACTATTTTTTTACATATCATTGCTCTTTTGTTAGTTTTGACTGCTTCTATTGTCCTCATTTGTAAGTCGCTTTGGATAAAAGCATCTGCTAAATGATTAAATGTAAATGTAATGTTATTGCACTGGCAAATAAACAGTCAGTATTTTTAATAATAATAATAATAAACCAAAATACAAAATTTTATTATTACAAAAATAACTCATCTATAAAGAAATGATTGCAATAATATTATTGTACTTTGAAATAAAAACTCAGTATTTATTATTATTATTATTAATAATACTTTTTATTTTACAATACAATAGGATTACTGCAATCGTAACATTTCGTTGCTCATTTGTTATAATTAAGATGATAATAATGTTATAATATAAAATAATATTTAATATTTTGGTTATTATTAATTATACTGACCTTTTATTTTATAGTACAATATGGTTATTGCAATAGTAACTGATTTTATTGATTTGTTAAATTTATATAATTAAAAAATAAAGTAACAATAATAATAATAATAAAGATATAAGGATGAATGTTGTGGCTGATCAAGTTGCACTTACCCATCCAAGTATTATAGTATAGTATATTCTAATCTTTATAATTCATAGATCATATTATAATATACTGTATAATCATATATAATTGTGAATAATTAGGTAGCAAAATTATGTTATTTTGAAAGGTGATTTGAACTCAATAAAAAATTGAGGCAGCTTAATTTTTTATTTTGATAATGCAGTTGATTTGCAGGAAGTCCCTGTTTACCATTATGGATGGATTGCAGTTTATTATTTTATATATCTGTCTGTGCTTTAAGCCAATTCTCAGTTTTTTTTTTAAAGAGCAAAAGAAGGGGTTTTAGCTGAAGTTATCGCTTCACTTCAAAACATTTTGAAAAGATGACTAACCTCTATAATTTTTTTTAATTAAAAGTATTTTGTTCACATGATCTACACAAGAAATATCTCACTTCAGATCTGGGGGATTGGACTTGCCTATCCAATAAACACGGCAAGCACGCGTGCAACCTCACAGCACAGCACCAAATCAGCCGCTGTGAACTGCAGAGCGACAGCCGAACCGCCGCCACACACAGAGGACTCCGGCTAGTGCTGGCACCCCAATTCTGAAGGGAAAAGAACAGACAAACAAACACACACACACACTTTCCATATGATCATCTCAATCAGTGAACACTTATCACACGCTGCAAGAGGAATCAGGCAGTCAAACGCTACATGCTCGCTTTTGGCCCGACAGTGGAAACGCGGCTATTGCCTCCTGCAGCAGAACAATGGCATGTTTGCACAGGTGATCAGGAACCCTGGGCATCTTTATTCTGGTATTTTGTCAGTAGAAAGGTTTTTATATTGTTATATGTTATTGTAACCGTGACTTTAATTGTCTGTCGTAATTTTCTGATGTGGTTCAGTGTTTTCACTGTGATAAAATATCAATATATATTTCCTTAATTTTTTTTGACTGTGAATAAATATTTTCTCAGTCACTTTGGCACAATTCTCAAAGGAGTTTTGACAATAAGTTCTTCTTCACATTAGATTTGAATTTCTTATTGATGATCCAGTTTGAGCTGCCCACCCAGATAGCACACGTATGTCGCGGAGACGTCTGCTAAAGAGCGTATCATCTGGTAAACATCGGATTAATTTTTTATAGTCGTATTTTGATCGTCTGTAGACCGGCTGTTTGAGCTGTTAAATGAGACGTCTCCCCTACCTCTAAATGACATCTATACGTCTCTTTATCACCCGCAATATGCCGGTATGTGCGTCAGGACAGGAAGCTGCAGACCAGCTGGTATACTTGATTAATTTAAAGGGAAATATGTGAAGAAATAACGATTATTTAAAAACCATATTCTTTGATATTTGCTTTTCTTTCTACAAGAACCTATATAATCACCAAAGCTCTCTATATTTTGCTGTATATCATTAAACCATTACGCTGCCTCAGAAGTCTGTCCGAAATCAGTTCATATTTTGATAAGATTAAGAACAAAACAACAGTAAAACTATGCAATGTTTGATAATACTACTACATAATATACAGTATTACTCCAAGAGTATGTTTCTGAGTGCAGCCAATGCATCAGATAAGCCCATGAGTCTTTGTATGTTGTTACCAGAATCGCCAGCCCGGCATTTAGGGCAGAAGGGAGAATTTATTTGCCATTCCTCAATGCAAATCCTGCAGCCAATAAGGCTTTGGCAGCATGATGAAACCATGGGCTCGTTCATTGGACCTGCAAATTTGATTCAGAAAATAGTTTTAAATAGTACAGTATTTGAGAACTATTTGATACATTTGTGGAGCATTGTTGTCTTTGTGGAAAGCAGTAAATCAATTGTATTGATAAAGTTTAGATTAGCACATCAATCTTTTTTTTTCCCATTTCATAAAATGTTTGGTTTAGTCACTGGCTTGATTATTTTAGACAATTGAATAATATTTTAAAGAATAAAATATAAAATTATACAAACCTCTGCAGATAATACAGGCAAAAGCATCTCTAACTGCTGCTGCTTCGACATCTGTCAGGGATACTGTTGTTCTGCGATTGGAATTTGCTAAATTCATGAGCTCTTTCAGTGTGGTGGACACTGCTTGCAGTCCCTGGGCTGCTGTCACAACCTCTTCAATTGTGTCCAGAACATCTTGGAGGCCAGCATCATCTCGTCGACTGTAAAACATTTAAATCATATGAATCAAAAATTATTCTATTTGTTTTCAACAGATAGCACATTCATAGTGAAAGTAAGCAGACACAGTCATTTTAACTATACTTCAATCATTATAGACCTATTAAAGTCTCAAGCGCTTCAAGCAGTCTAACTGGAATCTGAGATTTTATTAACCCGAGATTTAAAAAAATCCATTAAGCAAAAGTAATTGTTATAATAAACAGAGTAATCAAGGTCCCAGTTTATCAATTCTTCTGAATTTAGTGGCCCCAACTGTGCCTAAGTGATGCTGTGCATCTGCACAGCACTGAATTCTCAAATATACAAAATACTGATTAACTGGCTAATTTAGGTGACAATCCATAGAAATTTGATTGAAATTGTAATGATTTTAATTTGATGAAATGCAGTTTCTGTACCTCAGTCTCCTCCTTTTACTTTCTCGTAGCTGCAGGAATTCTTCTTGCGGCACAGCAAATACTTTGCGCGCATTCTGTTTCCAGTATGCTGATCCTGTATAGTAAATAATATATAAATATTAATATGTATATGAATATGAAGCATTTAAAAAAAGTATGCTGGATTTATATGTTATGGTCCCAAGGCAATGAAAATGCAATAATAAGCAATACAAAATGTTTAATTATACCTCTGGTTCCTTCAGAATCCAGGATTTCCTTTCCTTGGCCATCAGTCAGAATCAATGAGTCGTCTTGTCCAAGGGCCTCTTTAACTTTACTCACAATACCCGGAACAGAGGCCTCAAACTCAGAAAAACGGACTGTTAATGTTTTGCTATATTTACCAAACCAAAACGCAAATTTTCTTCTCCGGAAAAGGATTTTTACCGGGAGACCCCCTGGAATTCATTTGGGCTACTTTTAGCCGTTACGGGGCTAGTTTTGATCTGTAATTGGTTTTGTTATGCAGAATTGGCAACCCTCTTTCACAGCTACTTCCGGGTTATGCCAAGTTTAGATATCAAAATCAGATTCGGGCTGCAGGCGTTTTTCTGATTTCCCATTTTCAATTTTAGCATGAAATCGAAAATACGAAAAACAAGTCGTTATTTATTTTTTGAATATTGTATCTGTAAATGAATAGTGACATAAGTCCTTTTTCGATTTTCCGAATATGACTTCTTAATTGAATATGAAAAGAACGAATGATACATGGATTTGTAATGGCCGCACATTCCATTCTCTCGCAGGCCTCTATACACACATGCATATACTTGATTTTAAGAGTAGAATGACTTAGTACATAAATGGTTATATTCACATTGATTCTGCTTGATTAATTCATATTTTGATTAATAAAAATCTTCCACACAAATCCTGTGTCCAATTGTCAAATCCTTACCAAAATTGGATCAGATGATCACTGGGCCTACCCACACAGAAATGAAAACAGAATTTTGATTTTTATCTTTGTTATGATGATGCAAATTTAACAATCTCCACCAAAATTTGGATCAGAGGCTGTATCTCGGCAATGCTATGATCTATTGAAACAAAACTTGGTATGCTTCATATGCACCATGATTTGAAGGCAGCGCCATCTGCAGGTCATGAGATCTGAAAAATGGCTATTTTTGCTTATAACTTTGACCAGTTTGTCAGAATATGTCAAATCCATGGATACAGATCAGATGAACCTCCTGTCCGCCATATTGAAATTTGCATAGATTGCAATATCTTTTTAATGTTTTGACATTTAAACACATAATTTGGTAGGGATCATCGACATCATGTCCCAAAGACACCTGAGAAGTTTTAACAGAGTGCAACCTAATGTTCCAGAGATGTTTTTTTATTCCAAAAATGCTTATAACTTTTCAAAATGTGGTCTGAAATGTATTTATTGTCATTCAAATCCTTGGTTTACGCCAATTCCAACTATATCTCACGTTTCATTTTCCATCATTTTGTTCGTCCGCCATTACGAAGGAAATAAAACACTTTTTTCATTAATCTTGTACAATTTTGTCCAAAATAGGCTCAGACCATGTTTGGTCTGATCGGCACAGAAATGAAAATTTTTGATTTTTGATATTCGCTACAGTTTACGATATATGCTTTTATGAAGACGACAGCGCCCTTGTTTGTTGTCCTATGCTACAGTATGTTAGCTTAGCATGTTATTCTGTTAGCATGCTAATCGGAGACCATTCTTTTTAATGTGGCCCTTTTGGTTACCAAAAAATTACCCTCATAGCCACTATTAGGCCAGTTTATTTATATAGCACATTTCATACACAATGGTAATTCAAAGTGCTTTACATAAAATGAATTAAAATAATCATCACAACAATAAAACAAGGAAATTAAAAACTTTTAAAATAATCTAAAATTGTTTTAAAATTAATTTAAAACAGTTAAGAATAGAAAAAAGATTATACATAAAATACAGTGCGATCAGTTGGGACGTAGCACAGTGCTCATTCAATAAATGCACAGCTAAACAGATGAGTTTTGAATCTGCATTTAAATGTGACTAATGTTTTAGCACATCTGATCTCTTCTGGAAGCTGATTCCAACTGCGGGCGGCATAATAGCTAAAAGCGGACTCCCCTTGTTTTGTGTGAACCCTTGGTATTTCTAACTGACTCGATCCTAATGATCTGAGTGGTCTGTTAGGTTTATATTCAGTGAACATATCTGCTATGTATTTAGGTCCTAGGCCATTGAGTGATTTATAAACGAGTAAAAGTACTTTAAAATCAATCCTAAATGTAACTGGAAGCCAGTGTAAGGACCTGAGGACTGGTGTGATATGCTCAGATTTTCTGGTTCTAGTCAGAATCCTGGCAGCAGCGTTCTGGATGAGCTGCAGCTGTCCAATGGTCTTCTTGGGAAGGCCGGTGAGGAGACCATTACAATAGTCCACCCTGCTGGTGATAAAGGCATGAACAAGTTTCTCCAAGTCTTGACTGGAAACAAAACATCTAATTCTTGCAATGTTTTTGAGATGATAGTATGCTGATTTAGTTACTGCTTTGACATGACTACTGAAACTAAGGTCTGTCTCCAGAATCACACCAAGATATTAGATAGAAATAATTACATTAACATGACTTATTGGAGTTGGATCTTACCTTTATATTATCTTAAAGTATTCTGCCAAGGGAAAAGACCATCCATTACAAAACAATCAATTAAGAAAGCGATTCTGCGGTGTGACGTGAGAAACATGAAAGTAGCGCCTGCTTCAGATACCCGGATGAGAGGTGCATTATCACAGTTTTACCAGTTGTTGTCAGGGGATCACAAACCACTGGATGGTGCGACTGAACAAGAAGAATCAAGTATTCCAGAGAGCCGTGTAATGCATGAAGAATTTATTTTATAATCAATTAGCGATACTCAAATAAACATGCAATAATGATGGATGAGAGCCATAGGCCAGACTAGACAAGCTTTTGAAGTGAAATGGTAATTTCCTGTTCAATGAGGATCACTGAGTCGAGGCACTTCACATGATGCTACAGCTACCTGAGGAGTCTTCATTCTGCTTCTGCATTGCCATCATGTTTTCTCTGTGCTGCTGCTGCATCATAGCCATAAACTCCTCATGTCTCCTCTCGGAGCTTCCTAAAATCGCTGCAAACTCTCTAGCTCTGTTACTTTCGGCTTCAGTGCTCCTTCTCTTGAACTCTTCAATATCTTGGCCCATCCTGTCTGCCTTCTCCTTAAAGCCCTTCTCCAGCAGATCAGCCTGCTCCCTCAGTTTACTGTCCATGGCACGCTCAGCCTCCTCTCTCTGAAGCCTCATCTCCACATCCATCTTCTCCTTCATCTGTCTCATCCTCTCTTCATTACTCTTTCTCTCTGCTTCCATCTTCTCTTCTAGCTGTCGCTGCTTCTTATCTCTAGCTTTAATTTCCTGCTCCAGCAGGGCTGCTTTCTCTTTTTCCTCTGAAAGAAAACAGACGCTTCAGAGACAGAAGAGACTCAAACCATGATATATTTAAGGGCTCTATTTCACTGTAAAACTGGTCACACATTGGACAAGAAGCTCCATGTAGAGTTTCAGAGAATCTCTGAAATAAAATCAAAATGGGAAAATGACATTGTGACATCCAAACTTTATTTTATATTTTCCATTTACTGTTTGGTAATTGTTTGTTTTTAGTTTAGTTTGTTAGTTTGCTGTTCATAATCTGTTACTGTTCTCAGAATTCTGCAAAAGAACTAAAATCTGCCCTTCCATTGAAAAAATGATTATGTAAAAAAAGTTAAGTTAAATTGATCACTATCCATTCTTGTTTTTATTTTGCTTTTAATAAATTTTGAATCAAATTATGGCTAACAAAATATTTCCTGTGCATTCTCATTGTAACACAATGCTCAGGTTTTACTGTAATCACAATGCAAAACTAACACTTTTTAATTTTTTCAAATAAATATTTAAAACAAGAACTTCAAATTTTAACAAAGTACTATTTGATTATGGCTAAATATATATTCAGATTCAAAACTTAAGCAATTAGAAGTAAGATGGCGCCGACGCTGATGGCTGCCTCCGTGGCGTGCTCCACAGTTGTTTTTATGTTTTTGTTAGTTTGTCCTGTCTTTAGTTATATCCCTGCAATCAGTTTCACCAGAGACGGTCTTGTGATGTTGTCTAATATGGGCATAACCTTGACTTCTTTATTGGCCTGGCTGTTATATTTCTTCCCAATGTCCTCCAGATCTTTGCAGAAGAGATCATAGCCACCAGGTTTGGTATAGAAGCCCTGCTTGAGTTTTTCCATCATTGGTGCAGAGAGGGATGACAGGATTTCCTCACATCGTTTCTTTGAAGCTTGTTCGTTTTGGCTCAGGTATCCATCAAAGAGTTTAATAATATTTTCCTAAAAACAGAACATGTAGCATGTCAGTGGTAGAGAGGTATACAAGCTGCTGAATACTGATGATGTGTTCTCTCTCACATCATCCGATCCGACAACGAGTGTGCTCTTAGCTTTGGTGCAGTGGCAGAAAGTGATACACTGAAGGACCTGGGCCGTGGAGCAGTGACAGACAATGGAACAGAGGGGGACCTAGACCGTGAAGCAGTGACAGACAATGGAGCAGAGGTGGGACGTCCATGGCCGTGACATAACAGACAGAGTTCATGAACGGCCTCCATGGTCATGACAGGGCAGACTGTGAGTTCATGAACGGCCTTCTTGGCTGTAACAGGGCAGACTATGAGTTCAGATGCGGACGCCGCCACCTTGTGACATGTAGCATGTCAGTGGTAGAGAGGTATACAAGCTGCTGAATACTGATGATGTGTTCTCTCTCACATCATCCGATCCGACAACGAGTGTGCTCTTAGCTTTGGTGCAGTGGCAGAAAGTGATACACTGAAGGACCTGGGCCGTGGAGCAGTGACAGACAATGGAACAGAGGGGGACCTAGACCGTGAAGCAGTGACAGACAATGGAGCAGAGGTGGGACGTCCATGGCCGTGACATAACAGACAGAGTTCATGAACGGCCTCCATGGTCATGACAGGGCAGACTGTGAGTTCATGAACGGCCTTCTTGGCTGTAACAGGGCAGACTATGAGTTCAGATGCGGACGCCACCACCTTGTGAGGTTCTGCAGCGGATGCCGCCGCCTCTGGAGGTTCTGCAGCGGATGCCGCCGCCTCTGGAGGTTCTGCAGCGGATACCGCCGCCTCCGGAGGTTCTGCAGCGGACGCCGCCACCTGTGCGAGCAGCTGGCATCCCCGGGGCCTCAGCACTGGCTGTCACAGAGACTGTTCCCCTGACCTCAGTGCTTCCTGTTATGGCGGTCGCCATTTTGAGCGTATGGGCTGCACACTGCACTCCAGAGGCCTCTCCTGCCCACGAGTCTGCTCCAGAGGCCTCTCTCCGGTCCAAGCCTCTTCTGTCCACGAGTCTGCTCCAGGGGCCTCTTCTGTCCACGAGTCTGCTCCAGGGGCCTCTTCTGTCCACGAGTCTGCTCCAGGGGCCTCTTCTGTCCACGAGTCTGCTCCAGGGGCCTCTTCTGTCCACGAGTCTGCTCCAGGGGCCTCTTCTGTCCACGAGTCTGCTCCAGGGGCCTCTTCTGTCCACGAGTCTGCTCCAGAGGCCTCTAATGTCCACAAATCGACCTCAGAGGCCTCTCCGGTCCACGAATCTGCTCCAGTGCCTTTAGAGGTGGCGGCGTCCGCTGCAGAACCTCCAGAGGCGGCGGCATCTGCTGCAGAACCTCCAGAGGCGGCGGCATCCGCTGCAGAACCTCACAAGGTGGCGGCGTCCGCATCTGAACTCATAGTCTGCCCTGTTACAGCCAAGAAGGCCGTTCATGAACTCACAGTCTG